TCAGTCATTTAGTTAGAATTATTGTCAGTCAGTAATCACTTATGAAGCATAAATTCATTAGGTGAATTGCTTCTATAAGTCTGTTCTGTGGAAACCAGTTCCTTCTTAAGAAAAAAAGTCTCGGTGGCCAGATAAATTAGGAAAACTATATATCCCTTTGGGATTTTAAAAACTATAATCAGGTTATCTTTGTATACATTAGCGGTTCCCAAATTTATTCCATCAAAGAATCCTTTTTTTTCATGGAATATATGGTCTTAGATCACACTTTGGAAAACCTAAGGGAGGTAGCCTGCACAGGGTATGTGGAACAAGGAGCCCAGCTTTAAGCCTGGTTTGTAAAACTTACTAGTTGTATGATCTTGAGGAAATCACAACTTATATTTCACTTTCATATCAGAAAGGTGAGGATGATAATACTTATCTTAATCTGGGTTGTTTTATGGATTAAGTGAAATTATGACAGTGTACTTTAAATAGTTTAAAAAGTTATACAAATGAAAGGTATCATAGATAAATATAAAGTTATAATAGGAAATTGATAACATACAAGTGTAAAGAAACTTTCCCTAGCAATTCTTATTTAACAGTTGTGGGTTTAAGTGTTCTTAGGCGCCAGTACTATTTGGTAGGGTAGCACAATATGAAGGTCAAAGTAGAATTAGATCATGTTAGATTCAGAAACATCTCTTGCAATAATTGAATTTAACCTTCTTATTTTATAGATGATGGACTTGAGGTCCAGATGGGTCAAGTGAATGATTTCAGGTCACTCAGAGTTGATGTTAGATGATGAGGCCTGTGCAGTGACTGGCCTCATTCCCAATCACTGCCTCAATATGAGATCGATTATGGCCCCATAAAATTGTCAACATGATTAAGAGCGACAAGATACATCTAATAAAATAATCAGAACATACAACACAGAGAAAAAGTTTAAAGTTTGAAAATGTGGTCAAATGGACTGGTCTGCCTAGCAAGCATGAAGCTGAGTTCAAATCCCAGTACCACCAAAAAAAAGTGCTCAAAGGAGGATGAGTTGGAGGCCAACTTGAACTACATAGAGAGTTCAAGGTCAGCCTAGGCTATACAGTGTGACCTTGCCTCAAAAAGAATATGTGGATGAAATATCAAGTGAGATGAGACTTCAGGATAAATAAGACTTAAGTGAAGAATGTACAATGCTAAAAATGGAATAACACACACACACACTGCTGTGATCCAAGGTAGAATCGGGTATGATAGTGGCAGGCTTAATATTTGGCAAGAGTCTAAATAATTGTTCAGTATAGTTTGGGTAAAATTTCTGGAGCATTAGGGAGGATATGAGAAGTAGACAACAGTATTGCTGACTTCAAGAAGTTTATTTTTTATTTTTTGGTGGTACTGGGTTTTGAACTCAGGGCCTCATGTTTGCCAGGCAGGCGCTCTAACTGTTGAGTTGCTCCGACAGCCCTCTTTTGTGATTTTTTTTTTTTGAGCTAGGATCTCTTGAACTATTTGCCCGGGCTGGCTTCAAATATCAATCCTCCTGATCTCTGCCTCCTGAGTAGCTAGGATTACAGGTTTGAACCACTAGCATTGAGCAGGAGGTTTATTTTTTTTACTTGGAGGGAAGAGCTGGGAACATAAAATTGGAGAATATAAGCAAATAAGGTTGCAATGCAAATAGGTGAAATATTTGCATGCTTCAAACTACTGAACCTCTACACATCCTTCAAACGTCTATAATTCCTGGTCATTTCAGTCGTGTGATCCAGTAGGACCTTTTCCATGTGCTAATATTTGTAGGTACCACAATCGAGGCTAAATAAAGTCTGCCTTTTCAAAGGAGCTGTGTACTTCCTTACAAAGGACTTTGGGATTCTGCATCCTCAGGAAGAGGACAATGTTAGCATGTGACATACAGAATCAATGTACCTAGAGAATTCCCCCCATTTCACCTTGAAGAGTGCTTTGAGGTGTTAAAATCATCAGAACAAAGAGAAAATTAGATTTCCAGAAGCACAAAAAGGTAGTATTTGGTCTGGCCAGAATGGCCTGGAAGGAAAGACTTTCAACCACAGAGAAGGCCAATCTATTTTCCTCTTCCCAACACTAATATTACCCATATCTTTTGGAAATGAGCAAATTCCTTCCTTCCTCAGGGCTCACCTAACAGGATGTTTTTTGACCCATGGTGGGGACAGAACTGGCAGCCTGGCAGAGGAGTTCACAGTCCCGGGACAGCCCAACTGGCAGAGAGAACCAGAAGAAACTCACCTTTGTTCTTATAATTTTTTTCTTCTTTTTTTTGGTGGTACTGGGGTTTGAATTCAGGGTATTGCACTTCCCAGGCAGGCATTCTTCGACCACTTGAGACACATCCCCAGCCCTTACCTTTGTTCTTTAATAATTGCCTGGGGACTGAGAGATCTGACATTAAACTTACAGAAAGCTGTAAGCAGACACCCCAGTAGACAGGTCATAATGGTCAGAAAGGCTTCTGAAAACACCTTGTGGCAAGCTAACCAATAAAGTCACTTGGGTGGTCAAAACTGAACTGTAAAATGGAATTTTCTGGGGCCTTCCTAGTAAACCAAAATAGTGAACAAGTTTCCTAGTATTTTGGATACAAAAGGGTCATTTATGTTTCTGATTGTAAAATAAACATGACAAAAATGATTTCATTTTAGAACAAATTCAGGTTTTTTGAGAGGTAAAGTATTAATTAAAAGACCCCCCCCTTTTTTTTTTTTTTTTTTAAAAAAAAGTATATTTCATGCAGTCTGCTGAAAGTTTCCCATAACCAGCTTGGTTCTCACCTAGGTTAAGGTTATTACATAATCCTCCCCACAAGGTTTGGTCAGAATTTGCAGATGAAATTGCCAGACTCAGAGTGACCATCGCTTACCTTTCTGGAAATGGCTAGAGTGTGGTTTTAATCTCCAGCTTTAGGCGTTTCTAGACATCACAATTAACTCTTGGAGCCCTGTTGTAAATAAAACCTAACTGTTGTGTATACACTTCAAGTTACGCAGAGTGTATGGAATGGTTAGAATCAAAATCAAATGTGTAGGCATGCCGTCTGCTTTTCCTTTTATTCTCAGGCCAGCGTGACAGATCATTTAAAATATTACTTCTCTGAAACTCTGGCTAAAAACAAGGAAATTAACAACGCAGCACGACGGGGTGGGCCTGGCTAAAGTTATCGGTCAGGTGAGGGCTCTAGACGCTAGGGCAGGGCCTGCGCTCCGATCACCCCAGCGCCGGTGGCGGGGCTGAGGATGACATTCCGGGGCTTCCTCGTGGTCTGCGCGTCTGTGGGGCTGGCTCGGGCTCCCAATTCTGCGTGTTTTGACCTCAGTGTCTCAGTTTCGCTCGGGGACACTCCAGGCCAACCAAATAACGCCGTGAAGGCTTTAAAGCGTCTTTAAAGCCGGCTGGGGCTGCGCTTCAGGGCCACCAGCGACGCCCTTGTGGCCCGTCGGGCGGAGGCGCGCTCGCGGGCGACCGCGGGGCCGCGTGCCGAGCCAGGGGTGGCCTTTCAACGCGGCCACCCCGGCCCCCGCCGCCCCGCGCGTGGGGGGCGTGTGCGGCTGCGGGGCGCGGTGACCTCGGACCACCCCGGCCGCGCGCAGCACGCTCTGTGCAAATATGCGAGGCGCTGTCCTGAGGTGACACCGGCTGCACCGCAGAAGCAGCAGGCGCCGCCGATCAACGAGTTCGCGCCGAGGATTCCTCTTGGTGCGTGGCCCAGTTTTTCCTTAGGACCGGCTCCAACCCCTCCCTGACACCGCCCCCGCGCCGCCACGCTCCCGAGGCCTTCCCGGGGGAAGCCTGGCGTCCCCTCCCCGAGGCTCCGAGGCGCGCGCGCGATTCCTCGATTCCACAGGCGGTTCGCGCCGCGGGTGGGGGCGGGACGCGCGGGGTCTGCCTGGCAGCCGCCGGGGGAGGGCCCGGGCCGGGGGGCGGGTCGGCGTGGGGAGTTCCTCGCTCGCGGACCACACGCTCCGCGGGCCAATCCGAGCCAGCCTCTAGCAGTGTCGCACGCGGGACACGTCCAAGCGTTTGTTGGCAGGGCCGGCAGGGGGAGGGGGAGAGGAGGAGGGAGGGGAATTGAGTGACAGGCCGCGCGGAGCAAGCTGGGAATTGTAGTTCTTAGGTCCCGTGGCCATAGCCATTTTGTAGTCGGGGGACTACAACTTCCAGAAGATCAAGGGGACCATTCTGAGGTGCCCCGGGAATAGGCGGCTCTCCCCGGGGCCGGGCGTCCTGGGGCACGGGTACCCAGCTGCCCGGCTGCAGGTAGACGCCAGGGCAGTGGCGGGGGCTCGCGTGTGGCGGCCGTGGGGTGAGCGGCAAGCCTAGGAAAGGGGGTGAGGTGGAGCGACCGAGCGTGCCATGCATTGAGCTAGGGACCTTCTCTCAATTCCACGCCTGGGCTCCGCGTGGGAGCGACGCCTGAGGGGTTGCCCCGGAGGGGTTCGTCGAGCCTCGTGTGGGTTTAGTCGACAGGGCTGTGGGGGTTCTCTGGACTGGCCCAGGCACCATGGGCGCCCGGGTAGGCGGGCGCGCGGTGGCTCAGCTGTGGGAGTTTTCGGCTGGCGTGCGGAAGGGAATTATCCGAGGAGCCCTAACTTGTATAAAAGCAGAGTCCATTTAAAGTTGGGCTGGATAGCCTCTCTCTCATTGGCTGGGGGGCTTGGAAAAAAGAGACTCGGCGAGCCCTCGCTGTGGTGCTGCCGCCGCCGCCGCCGCCGCCGCTGGAGTTGACTCTTCTGCTCGCACTGCTGCTGCAGCACAAACGTGACTTCCAACATTTTTTATTTATCTTTCCCTTTTCTTTTCCAAGATGTAACTACAGATCAGACACTAAGGACCTTCACGTTTCGCTGATGTAGTTTTTGGAGGAAAAAGGGGGGGAGTGAAGGGCGTCGTTTTTTTTTTTTTTTTTTTGTGTGTGTTGTATGTGTTTCGGGGGAAATTTTCCATTATGAGTGTTTTACTAAAGTGAATTTTTTTGTTGTTTGCTTCGTTCGTCTTTGGCGTTTTTTTTTTTTTCCTTCCCGATTTCGGATTTATTTCAAGGCGAATCTGGCTTTGGGGGAAGAGGAAGAAAAGTCGGATTACAAGATCAACCACCAACAACAACAATAAAAACCACCAGGATATTTTTTTGTAAATTTCTGACGGCTTTAAATTCATGAAGCAATTGTCCCCTTTTACAATCAGCATTTGGATCTCAGAATGAGCAAGGAAAGACCCAAGAGGAATATCATTCAGAAGAAATACGTAAGTGCTCCTAACAACACAGCCTTTGACTTGCAGTTTTAAGCAATGGCTGTGAATGTCAAGTTTATAGATAATTCTGCAGCTGAAGGGCTTTAAACACAGCGTCCGATAAGGCTGCTGCTTTCTTTTCTGAAAGAAGGCTTTTCAGGCAAAGTCGTGTCTGCCTAGTTTGGTTGAAAAAAACCAGATTGGTGTAGACATACAAGTGAATAAATTGACCTCGAATGACACAACCATAATCTAGTGTTAGATGAAAGGCAAGGGATTTTGGTGGAGCTTGGGGTGGGTGGGGGGTGGGGGGGCTGCGGTAATGTAACTAAACTGCATTCTCGGGCGGGTTTGGCCCCCACATTGTACTTTGCATGCAAATGAGCTAGTTATTACTATCGATGTTATTTGGAAGATCGTGTAAGGCGTGTGTATTGGAAGCCCTTTAAGTTGCAACCGAGGGTCCGATTATGGCGATCTTGCATTGGCCCATCAAATTTAATGTATGTGGTCGTTTTGGCTTATCTGGTTTGCAACATAGCCCAGTTGGGAATCAGGTTACCGCGAATACATTTGTTGGGATTGACTTTAATAATGAGGCTGGTTTTGTTTAAAAAAAAAATTCATGGTTTCCAATTTTAGAGGAGAAAGACATACATTATGGCTAGTGTTAAAGTAAATATGTGTGAACGCATATGTAAGTGACTACACATAATTTTCCCCTGTAAATTGGGCTTCTGAAATTGGGTGATTATTCGGAGATTTACATGGTTTAGAATAGTTAAATTTGTTTTGTGCATAGTACACAGCTACATTTTGATTGGCATGGGGAGTGTTTTTGTTTTGTGTGTGGCTTTTTTTTTAAAGTTTAGGGGGTGGGAGTAAAGAGGGGGACCGAGGGATTAACCAAATATGCACTCGAGTGATCAGTGATTAGCTGTATGCTTTAAAGCAAAGAACTCATTTTTTTAAACAGAAAAAGGCCACATGAACATACATAAGGAATAATGCAACGTTACAAGAAAGTTTCATTTAACTCGAGTCGACAAATTGGTGTTAATATTTTCCCTTTCTGATGAATGTGAAGTGTGTAATGGGAGATGACCTTCGGGGGCAGTGGTTTTGTAAAAGATATATTTGATGGAAAAGCTGAATGCCCCTTCTGGAGGGCTGATCCTAATCTAGACACGTAAACTTCAGCTATGAAAGAAATGCAAGGTTAAATAATTAAACTCAATTTACAAAGCTGCTCCATAAAGAATTTAAGAATTAAAAATATATCCGCATTGCAGAAGGCTGGGTAGAATGCAAAGGACTAGTTTAAACTCGGGCTGTAGAAACTGCAGGGAGACAACCTTGCCTCGGAGCGTGGACGCCTTCCCGGGGCACGTCTGCCTCGCAGGCAGCCACAAAGCAAATGGGGTAGAACTTGGACAAGAACCGCCCCCCTCCCATCCCGGACCTCTTTAAGTTGGAGAGCAGCGTGGGGTGGGTTTTTTTGTTGTTGCTGGTGGTCATCGGATCGTGTCGAGTCTGGGCGTCCGGCCGCAAGCCGGTGGCTGGCGGCGGCCACGAGAGGCAGAGCACGAGTTATCGCTGCGGGAGCTGAGCCCGGGTTCCCGACGTGCTCGGGCCGGCTGCGGGCGAGGAGGGCGCGCTGGGGCCGCGGAGAGCTGGGCCCGGGTCGGGGCCGAGCGCGCGCGCGCGCGCCGCCTGTAGGGGGCAGACTCCGGGCTCCGGGCGGGCGGGCGCCGGGCGTCCGGGGCCGGCTCTGGGGCGGACAGGCGGGCGAGTGGGTGGGGCGCGAGGGCGGTGCGGCCTGCCGGTCTCGGGGGCGGGGAGCGGCGAGCCGGCGCGGAGAGGGGACGGGAAGGGAGGGGAGGGGGCGCGCGGCGCACAGCTGCAGCAGGCGCCCCCCCACCGAGCGCACGGACGAGCATGGCGGCCGAGGCCCTACCGGCTCCCCGCCGCCCTGCCCGCGGGCTCCGACGCAGTCTCCAGAGCAACAGGTTAAGCCGGCGAGACGTCAGCGCCCCCCCTCCCCGCACCCGGACCCTTCCCCGGCGGCGCGCCGGAGCCCCCGCCCTCCTTCCCTCCCTCCGTCCCCCGCCGCTCCCGGTTCCCGGCCGCTCCCGGCCGCGGTCTGTTGTCATTGTGACGTCACAAAGGGACCGGCGCGGGTGGAACCTTCCCCTCCGTGACGTCAAAAGTCGGGCCGGTGGTTCCAGGCGCGGTGGGGCTGCTGGGGAAAGAGGGAGCGGAGCGGGGGCGGGGGCTGTCGCGGAGCCCGGCCGCAGCGTGGGAGGAAGAAGATGCACCCGGTCTCTGCCTTCCGCCCCGGAATGCAGCAAGTCCCACCAGGTGAGCACTGGAGGAGCCTGACTCCCCATCCGAGTGCCTTCGAACCTTGTTGGGATGCCATTTAGGGGGTAGCAGCCGAGCAGGGAGGAGGCGCCTCCTTTCTGCAGGAATGTCTTCACTGCCTTAGTTTCAGGTCTCCTGGTGGTGTTGCATTACTTCTGTGATTGCGTTACTACTGTGGTCCCCACACCAATGCTCATGAAAACGTAGGAATCTACATTTGGCGAAAGCTTGGCCTTGTGAGGGGACGGTGTTGTGGATTTGGCTGCATTAAGTCGTGTTAGGGGGTGTCTGTCTTTCAGGGTAATGCTGCACAGCAGCTGCTGTTGCTCTTTCTGGAAGCCTTGCATTATTGGGGGGGGGGTGCACTGTAGAAAGGGAAGACTTGTCTACTTAGGTCACAGGATCACCAAGTCTCAAGGTGCTCTGAGCTTAGTTCTCAACAGGAGGACAGATGTCTCACATTCTGAGCTTTCACGGTAAAATGGAAAAAGTAATATCTGTCTTTGTCACTTTACTAAGTCGTTGAAACGATCATGTGGGTGGAAGATGTAAAACAGTGTGTTTCTTTGTATGGAAAGTGGCATTATTACTTGAGCTGGTGGAAGGCAGCGGGTTTGGTACAAGTGGTCTCAAAAGCTTTCGATGCCTGCCGAGTTGCCATTTAGTTTATTGCCTTAGCAAAGCAGAGTTTGAGGGTGTGATTGTAGATGGCAGGCTTTGGGAGAAATGATTGTTGTATTTTTTATTAAATGACATCCTTGAGAAGCTCATAAATTGCAATATAATCCTGTCTTAATTGTGTTGGGTACAGCTCCCATTGCAATACCTTAAATAACTGGAAACATTTGCCTTTTGGAGTCTGAATCCACTTGGACAATAAAACAGTTACACGTTTTGTTCAGTGGATATTTTCTGCCACTTCCATCGCTCCACGGGTTGGCTATTCTTAGGAGGAGTAACAGATAGGATACCTCAAGCTTCACAACCATTTGGCCTTAGCGTGATAGCAGGTATGATCTTGAAATAAGAAAATCTCTGCCACATAAAGATGTGATCAGACAAATTATCTGTCTGATTTCTGGAGACAGCTCAAGCAGAATTTGTACCATTAGTAAGTTTAAAGGATCTAGTAGTTTCACCCATATAAAAGTGCAGCCCGATTAAAAACCTGGAACAAGTTTGCTTCAGAAGGTTCAAAAGTAGGATTTACTGTATAATTACATAAAGTTGTAAAGAAAAAAAAGAGTAGAACTACACCAAAGTAAGAATTTTGGATTTATGAGGGTCCCCTTCCCCATTTTGTCCAATCAGGTTATTTTGTAGTTACAGGGAAAGAACTTGAAGAAGTTATTTAATTGCCATGCTTTTCCTTTCCTGGGGTGTTCATATGGCTTTTGTTCCCCTTATTTCTAGTAGTGAAAACCTTGCCCTTTTCACCATAAATCTGGGGCAGAGGCAATTTATTATTTTTGACAGGCTAGAAAACTCAGGGCATGGTAGGAAAGTGCTCTATCACTGAGCTACACCCCAATTCCAGGCCGAGGAAATTTAGCAGCTATCACTGTACAGAGGAGGGTATCTAGAGAGTACAGAAGTAATATAGTCAGGTTCAGAGTGTCAGTGAAATTTAAAATGAAAACTAAGTTATGTCCAAAAGCTCAATTTGGGTTATTACCTTATTGTTAGCTGATATTGAACTCCTGTTTTCCCATTGCCACTGGCCAAAATAGCCAATTAGAATTCTTTTGTAATTAGAGGGTCTAAGGGATCCTTTCCCTCATAGTTGGTTAGACCAGTCCCTGTTGCAGGGTTGTGGGCTACTGATTCACTAAAAGTGACTTGAGAATAACTACAGTGTTAACATATACACCACTCCAAAGATTTTTTTAAACTTCCTTCAGAACAAGAAAATATTTGGGAACGTATAACTGGTGTTTATTATATAGAACTGTTTTTGTTTTCCTAAAAATACAAGGAAAAATCCTACTAAGCCTAGTACATTAAGTGTTTGTCAAGGGCTGACCTGGAATATTTTTAATCTAGTGATCATGATTGTAGGAGCCCTTGATCATGATTGTAGGAGGACTCAGACATTGTCTGAGGATTCATTAGAATCCTGGATACTGTGTTCTAATCCTCCTTATGTTGCTGGCCCAAGTCCCCCTAGGATTACAGTATCAGCTCTTCTAACCATCTTCTTCCTACCCAAGTGACTTGCCTTAGGGTGCAGAACATTCTGTCTGATACCCCAGCTCTGAACTTTTGGCCCACAAAGGCCCACATCACTTCTGGCCAGTGGGCTGCTCTGGGGTTTGCCTCTGTCCCCTTTGGCTCCCACCCAGAAGGCTTGCCAAGTGTCAGTTGTTTGTTCCCAAATCTGGTTATTCCAGTTGGGCTTATTGTTGTAATTATAATTAAATATTATGTAAACCTTGAGTGAGTGTGAAAAGAGTTTGGTTTCTATGAAAACTTTTAAGTTGAATGCTTTGGGGAAGACTTGATAAAAGTCAGTTACTTAAAAAAAAAAGGCTGTTAAATTAGATGTGGGTCAGACATTTAAAAGATTTTGTGGGTTCTTCACACTCACTGCTTTGCAAATCATTCTTCTCCAGACCCAAATGTCAGTTATACTCAAAGTCGTTCCTCAA